CTGATTTGACTCGGCTCCAGTGGTCCCTATTTTATATGAAGTTTCATAGTAACTTCAGGAAGAAAATATTATAGTAATTGGTTTCACTTTATGTAATTCTGTAACAGAACGTATGCCACAGAAGCACCCATACTTAATCCTACTGAGTCTCCAACTTAATCCGTGTAAAGCTCAGGTCTTTGTGGAAAGTGTATTCAAATAGGTAGAACAGGGTGATCAATGCTTGTGAAAGGTGAAGATAGCTTAGCCTGAAGGGCTGTGACATAGAACCGGATGTGGTCCGCCTTATCTACCCTTGTAAAGATAGTATATCAGATCGTATTTACTTGTGTTAACATGATTATGCGACAGTATGTCGTAATGCAATATTTGGCTCTTATGACTAGTTTCACTTGAGCTGTTTGAATTTTTAATTGGTGACTGATTATTGCTGTAATTTTCCAACCCTACCTGCGTGAAGCAGTGTGACTCATATACATGGTAGAGTTTTGTGGCACTAATCAGTTACCCTCATCCTTTTTCTAGGGGGACCATTAATCATTGTATTCAGGCTTATTGACATCCAGGTGGACATTTGCAGCACCGGGGAATAAGATCTCAAAGCTTAGTTTTTCTGGTGATACTTGGTTCTTTGGTTACCAAGTTTGGTGTTATGGTAGAGTTTGGCCTCTTAGAAACCTGAAACTTTGCTTTATAAGGGTAGATCAGGACCAGCTTTCTACCTAAAAGGCTTTCTAGGAAGCATTCACCAGGGTGACTGAAGAGGGAAGAGCGTTATGATCACATTATCTAGTTAGCCCTCTGTTTTTAGGCAGATATAAACCTAGACATCTATAAGAGTTCGTTTTTTATGCAACTTTTTTCCGCTTATTTGGAAAGTAATACACTTCCATTGTAGAAAATTTAAAATATAGATAAAAATAATGAATGGAAGTATCTTGTAATTCCACCATTCAAAGAACTGTAAGATGGGTATGTTTTAAATCTGCATTGATAATATTTCATGTTTAATTATGTTTATTGTCACGTCACCTTTATGATACTCATCTCACAATTTGTCCGTTCTTCTTATGTTTACTTCTTGAGTTAGAGCCCCATTTAAAAATAACTTTCATATGCCTAAAGACAGTTACCAAGAGTAGATCCATATTAATTCAGTCAGATCTGGCTTGACTGAGAAAAAAAGTTGACTATATGGGGATTTTAAGTATGATGCTTTGCAAAAACAAGTGTCCTCCTTTGAGAAAGTGTAACTATCATCCTTCCACCATATTGTGTTGTGCAGGTGTGTGTACTGTTGTTGAGTTCATTTTACACATTATAATGTGCATGCAATGGAAGGGGTGGGCTGGGGCTCGAGTAAACAGAGAACATCTTAATTCAGGGACTACAGTATATACTTATCTACTGGTTCCTAAACTAGATGGTCAGCCCTTGAGGACAGAAGCAACACCGTTATCTTTCATTTTCTCTCAGCGCTTAGTAGAGTTTAGCATAAACAGCAGATGCTTGATAAAACCAACTTTGGGGCTTCAACAAGAGATTTGGTTTGATGTCCTCTGGCTGGTGGAGAGCACCAGAGGTCACTTTTTCTAGATTGCTCATTGTCCAGGTGTCCTTGTCGTGGTAAAGTAGATCCACCCACTTTAGGATCTACCTAAAGTAGGTCCTAATTTGGTTGGTTGGTATTTTAGAGTCGACTTGGGGGATCTGTTAAAACCAGCTCCACAGAGGTATGTTTTTGGATAATATCGACATTGTGCATTAGAGCTTAACTTAAAACCTATCCAAAAAGAAGAAGGTAATACATTACTCAGATGATAATTAAAGCAAATAAACCAAATATCTAGTTATATAGATTGTCAAATTCCGCAAAATGTGCATGCTGAAGAGTAGATTAATGTACATGCTAACTCGTGGTACAGTCCCTGAAATCTAGCCTTGGAGATTTAAGGTGATCCTACATTAAGTCCTTTGCAGATATTTTGTATTTGCAAATACTTTGTAGATGTGACATTTATCAGGGTGCATTTACTGAATGGGAGATAGAGTAAATTTCCTATTAAAAAAATCCTCACTTTCCTGGTAAGTGATACAGGATAAAGATTTCAAAAGAAATCTTTGCCAAGTGGATTGGTTGCTGTGTTCTGAAGAAGATGCCCAGATGCTGCTGCTCTCAGCAAACTCAGCCTTAATCCTTCATGGTGAAATAATTTTGGAGCGAGTGGGGGCAATGACATATAGGACTAAAGCAGAAAACGCTGTCAGAATGACAGCATATAAACATTTGACAAGGAACTCGCCAGCACATATGGCTGTAGGCGGTAGCTTTTTCACATGATAACCTGACAGATTGTCGATGAGTGAGGTGGAGAAGCAACTTGTAGAAAGTGACTGCCTGGAATCCCAGTGCGGAGACTTGGGGTCTTGACTGGTCTCATCTCTTACTTCTGCCTCCTCTGTGGCTGTAACTTCTTTGGGCTTCAGTTTTCTCATCTGTATCAGGAAAGGTTGGTATAATTGATATCACAGATCTCCTTCAGCTGTCAATGCTATGAGTTTTTGTTGTTATTGGCTTGGTGGTGTTTTTTATTTATTGTGATGCTATGATTTTTAAACACAACAAGTTCAAATGTTGCCTTTGATTCCCACTCTATTTTTGTAAAAACCAAAAATTGGAGAAAAATAAATTTTAAATACCATACCCTTTAGAAAAGAGCTTAGCTCTATTGTTTTTGTGCATAGAATTTCATTATTAAATTAAATACACATTGTTTTTATTTATTGACATGTTGTATGTTTTTTGAACTCCTTAAATGTTGATAAGCATGCATGTGCTGTTTTATATTAAATACATTTTAAATGTTGATCCAGAATATGTATTTGAGGTTAACCACCTACTACAACAAATAGATGCCTTTTGTGTTAATATTTAGTGAGTAGAATATTATTTTAATTTTTGCTGGTTTCTGCAAATAATGCAAGTAATGACAGACATTTTGGCTTCTTAGAAAGAGTCTTATTACAATATGGCTGAAAAACTAGATTAACAAATAAAAAGAAAACCTACTATGTTACTTTACACCTCTTGGGTAACACCATTAAATGTGTGAGTTTCGTCTGCTTGGTGGAGTCATTAGAATTCATGTGGAAGTGGTGCAGAAACATGTGACAATGTAGAATGATCTATCCCATCTTCCTTAAAGTAGTTTGCTGTGGTCAGTGTATCTCCCACAGTCGTTGCTGCATATAAATATAATTCAGCGGAGGGCAATTGATTTCCTTAAAGTCACCTTTTTTTTTTAAACTTAATCTCAGATCACTTTGTTTTACTCTAGTAGCCGTTGCTTTCAATTCAAATGACAGCTATCTCTCTCATCAACTATTATATACCTAACAAGTGATTCCACTAAAGAAATACAAAATGGAGATTAAACTAAATTAAGAAAGGTAGAGGAAGGGAAAGAACTTCAGATGTAGACTAAGATCACATATTCTTGGGTCCGACTGGCCGTGTGGTGGTGGTTTGAGGATGCGCCAGTCTCTATGAGACCCCCATCAACTGTGTTAGCAGTCATGCTCAGGCTGGGGTTATGGCAAAGTGACACAGTGCAAAGTTGGATTTTAGATGTTGAAATTGGGCTTACTAACACCAGAATCTGAATTTGTTTCGTTAACTTCGTTTTTGCATTCAAAACTGAATTAGGCCAACATCCATTCTTGAAATTTTATTTCCCAGTGTGAATAAAGCTGGAAGTCCTCAAATAAAGCATTCTTCTTATAACGAGTGTGAGCAAACTAAGTTTTACACGCTCAGGTGTATTGAGGCAAGTGACTTATTGAGTGCTTTTCAAAAATTTATTTGGTTTATTAGTAGGCTTATGTGAAAGAATCTTTCTTCTGTTTGATAGTTTTTGAATAGAAAATGAAATTTTAAAAAACTGCCCAGCTGAACAGTTTCAGACAAACCTGTCAATTCGTTTTCAACTCTTAGCCTGCACCTGTGGGACTTTTGAAAGTAGTTAATATTAATCATACCTTACTTTAAATTTTTTAATGAGTTCCATTGAAGAAAGAAGGCATATAGCTTATTTTGTGGTGTGTTTGTCGTTGACTCTCTATAGGAAAGTAGTTGACAACTTTTGAAATTTGCTTTTATTTTAGGCTTGGAGTTGCAGGGAAAACTTATCTGTGTTTCCATTCTGAGGCAGTAATTTAAAGCTCATATTGAAGGCCCTGGTGTTGTCATCTTTTCTATTTGCACCGTGTTACATTGTCACTTCTTTACTCCTTGCAGGCTGGGATAATTCTCCAGTCAAGAGAACTAAGGCTTAGCAATGTAGGGTCTCTAGAAGGAATCCTAATATTGAAACATCTTAATCCTGTGAAATAGCAGCATATTTCCCTCTAAGTTGCAGCTGCCATACCAGGCCTTGGATGAGGGATCAGGCTGTGGGGGCATTTGCATATATTAAGGTTTTGCATATATTAAGATCTACTATCACAGGCCAATATCAAAGTTGTTGATATATGACCTTGCCTAGACTTAAATTCTGAAGCAGGGCCCGTGGAGAACAGTAATGGGAAGGTGCAGTTACAATTCGGTCAGACGATCTGAGGTCTACATAAGTTTCACCCCTTCACTTGTTTGCAAATGCAATCTGCATGTGTACGGCCTCAGATCACCTGTGCAAATTCAGCGTGGCCTACGGATTAGGAGCCTGGGGTTGTTGAATCTCACCTACAGTTTGATTTGTTATATGCTGTGGGTGGGGTTGAGTTTCATTGTCCGTGGGTATCTGCCCTGACAAGGTGATGACCAGTACAGAGAACTATGTAGGTCTTGCAGTCTGTGGAAATAACTTAGTGGTGGGGTTTTGCCCTGCAATCCTCATTTAGGTGCAGCTAAAGGTAGAGGACAATGTCCATTTTTTAATTGCGTGTGCGTATGCTAAGAAAGTAATCTATAGTTTTATAGAACTTTCCCTTTTTATTTGTAGATATAATACTTTGCCAAGCAGAAGAACCCTGAAAAATTCAAGATTAGTGAGTAAGAAAGATGACGTACATGTCTGTATCATGTGTTTACGTGCCATCATGAATTATCAGGTATGTTTGTGTTTCTGATCTTTTAAAAATTCTGAATTCGTCATACTCAGATCTTGTTCTCTTTGGTTTCTTTGTATTGTTTCTATTTGAAGTAAATATCAGGATTTAATGAGGTTCTATTGAGAAAGAAAAATCTGGTTCATACTAATGCTCAAGATTTAATTCATTGCCCTCATTTTAATTAGCATTTATTTATAATTTATAATGTGTTTAAAGGGAAGACATTCTCCTCCTACAGTGATAAACTTGTTTTGCTTACTTGGTAAATATTTGTGACCATTAAGCACAGAGTAAGCTGCTGGTTGTGGGCAGTAATGGAACAGCTTTAGAACATGAGGAATGAATAGACTCACACACTGGGTAGGTCAGTGGTTCTGAAAGGGTTATACGATGAACAGGCAAGACGTTATAATTACTGTCTGTTGGACCCAGTGGTTCCTAATCTTTATAAGAAGCACTCGGAGGATTCTTGTTAAACATACCGATTCCTCCTTCAGATGGTTGTGACATGGGTTATCCTCATTCTGAGAAATGCTGGGAGAGACAGTGCAGTCTGGGAGTTGGATTAATCCTAAGCACGAAGTGGAAACTAGAGCCTGGAGTATCTAGGGTGAACTGACAGAGTCAAAAGAATAATTAGGAAAGCAAACTAGGGGTGAGAATTAGAAAAACTTAATTCAAATAAAAAATACGATTTGATTTCCATTGATGTGGATGCTACAGATGGGTCCGAGTAGAAATGGACAATGAATACATAGGTAGAGGGGTTGGTATTGGAGTTCAAACCCAATATAAGGGTGCCAAATTGAATTTAAGAAGGGAAGCATGCATTTATTCTTTCAATTAGTTAATATTTTTGAACATTGCCTGATAGACCCTGTTCTAGGCACAAGGAATACAGCATTAAATAAATAAATGCCCCAGGGAACTTATTTTCTAGTGAGGGGAGAGATGATAAATAAATTGGTAAACTGTGTGGCGTTCCAGATGATGATGATGATGATGATGTAACGAAATGAAGGTAACACTTACATACTGCTTCCTGCAGGTCTAGTACTTTTAAACCTATTAATTAATTTAAGCCTCATAAGTCTTGTGAGATTGGTAATATTACCCTCCCCGTTTTACTGATGAGGAAACTGAGACACAGAGAAGTGAAGTAATTTGCCCAGGATCATATGGCTAATAAGTGGGGAAGTCAGATTTGAACCCAGGAAGATTGGCTCAGAGAACTATGACTAAGTACTGTAGAAAAGCTAATCAGGAAATAGGCATAGGAAGTGCTGAAAATGTGTGTTAAGTTTTAAATAGGCCAGCCAGGAAAGTGTCACTGAGAAGATAATATTTAATAACAACTTGAATGAGGGAACAAGGTAAGGGATATTAGGGAAAGAAGATTCAAGGGCAAGTGCAAAGGCCCTGAGGCAGGAATAAGTCTGGTGTGCCCAAGGCTCATAAAAGAGGTCAGGTTGGCTGGAACAGAATGAGTAAGAAGGGGAAGAGTAAAGGATGAAATCTGAAGTTAACAGGGGGTCCTGATTGTATTGGGCATTATAAGCCAGTAAAAGGACATTGGCTTTATTTATTTTTAAATATTTTATTTATTTTTTTCCCCTCAAAGCCACAGTAGATAGTTGTATGTCGTAGCTGCACATCCTTCTAGTTGCTGTATGTGGGACGCGGCCTCAGCATGGCCGGAGAAGCAGTGCGTCGGTGCGTGCCCGGGATCCGAACCCGGGCCGCCAGCAGCGGAGCGCACGTACTTAGGAGCACATGTACTTAACCGCTAAGCCACGGGGCCGGCCCAGGACATTGGCTTTACTATGAGTGGAAAGCTATTGACAGATTCTGAGGAAAAGTGTGACATGATCTGATACTTGAACATAACATGATCACTTTGGCTTCTGTGTTTAGGATTGACTTTGGGGAGCAAAGACAAAAGGAGGTAGAACAATTTAGGAGGCTGTTGCATTAATTTAGGCGAATGTTGATAGTGGCAAGGACCAGGATTATAGGAGTAGAGATGATGAGAGGTGGCCAGATTCTGGTTTTATTTTGGTAATATAGGCAATAGCATTGAATATGTGGCGAAGAGTGGAGGGTGGCCCCAAGGTGTTTGTCTTGGGCACCTGTGAGATGGAGTTGCCATCTACTAAGATGGGGAAGGCTGCAGGATCAGCAGATTTGGGAGATATGATTAGGGGTTCTGTTTCGGAGATGTTAACTTGGAGATGTCCATATACATCCAAGTAGAGATCTTAAGTAGGTGGTTGGAATTGCCAGTCCTGAGTTCAAGGTAGAGGTCTGGGCTGGAGATACAGATCTGGGAGTTAATAGATGGTATATAAAGCCAGGGGAGTGAGTGAGATCAACAGGGGTAGACAGAAAAGCAAAGAGGTCCCAAATAACCTTGGGGCACTCTGTTTACGTGTCAGAGAGATGAGGAAAAACTAGCTAGAAAGACTAAGAAGTAGCCAGGAAGGTGGGAACCAAGTAGAGGAAATGTTTCAAGAAGATAGTGCTCAGCTCAGTGGCCAGTGCTTACATGACCAGTGTCATGTAAGGTGAGTGAGAGTTGGCCGTTGGCTCTAGCGAAGTGCGGGTCATTGGTGATCTTGGCACGCACAGTTTCGTTGGAGTGGTGGGATGCAATGCCTGATGGGAGTGGTTTCAAGAGACAGCAGAAGAATCGGAGACCCTGAGTGCTTGGAGTTTTGCTATAAAGGATAGCAGAGAAATGAGGCAGTAGCTGGACACAGGTTGTAGAGTCAAGAGAGATTTTGTTGTTGTTTAAGATAAGAGAATTGGCATCATGTTTTTATGCTAATAGTAATGAATGAGAGAGGGAAGAATAATGATGGGGGATGGGAGCATTGCTGGAGCATCTGATGTTCCTGAGTAAGTAAGAGGGAATGGCATCAAGGACCCTAGTGGAGGGATTGGCCTGGCATTGGAGCACGAGAGAGTTCATCTTTAGGAAGAGGTCAGGTGGTAAGCCGCAGGTCCGTGTGGGTGGGCTGACGTGGTGATAGGAGCTTTTGGAAGTTCTTTTCTGATTACTTATATTATCTCAGTGTAGTTGAAAATAAAGTCATGAGCTAAGAGTGAGTTTGGAAGAGAAGGAATAATTCCTCAACTCAGCAGAATCAGGGATGATTCTTGAGCCTGTTACCAAGCTTCATTTTATAGAAGGGTGAGGTAACGTGCCTCAGAGCAAGGCAGGTTTTCCTAGGCTTTTGGTCCTGAGAGCCATTGCCCAGAGAAGGGACTGGACACAGTGGTTGTCAACCCTGGCTGCACAGTGAAATCAGCTTAAAAAAAATTCAGATGCCAGGGCCCCGTCCTTGAGATTCAGAGTAAATTGACCTGGGGTGGGTCCTGGAGAAGCAGTGTTTTGTTTTTACTCTGGCAAGTGATTTAATGAGCAGCCAGGATTGAGAACCACTGGGCTCGAGCCTTTTTACCATTTTAATAAAAAAACATGTAGTTCATTCATAAAGAATGTGAACATGGTCCCTTGATAATAGTATGATTCCTAAAATTTTTCATAGAGAAATATGTTCAGACACTCATGTGCTAGAGACATAAATGTATTTATGATGGTATAAATTACATTAGGTAGAAACTTCAGGTTTTTGTTTTTTAATCACCAATGACAGTCCCCAGGTTGACTACTAATACTTTGTTTTGTCCATGTTAATTTCAGTATGGCTTCAACATGGTCATGTCTCATCCACATGCTGTCAATGAGATTGCATTAAGCTTGAACAACAAGAATCCCAGGTAAGCTTGCTTGGTAACATGCAAATCTAAATCTAACTTGAGAAAGCAGAGAGCTAGTCAACACTTTACCAAGTTAGAGTTGGGAAACTTTCAAGTGCTGCTCTTTGAATTAAGATTGCCAGTAGACTCCTTGGCTGTGTAGATAGCTGGGTTACATTCTTACCTGTGGCAGAGCTGAGCACCTGGTGACAACTCGAGCCCCTTCACTGTTCTCTTCAAGCTTTCATTCTTTTTGAGGCCTGGTACTCAGCATCTTTGCAAATTTACCAAAATTTGGTGGAGAACCTGAGGTTGCCAGGTTGTCAGAACTGGGGCCAGGAGAGTCTTGATACAGACTTCGCTACACCACTTATTGCGGAAAGCTAACTAAAGCCACTCTCCTTTGTCTGCGCCTCACTTGCAACATTTACATATGTAGCTTCTATTACCAAACAAAGAAATAAACAAAAAAATAACTGTGCATGCAGGTTTCTTTTTATATGCACTTTCCTGTAAAGGCCAGTCCCGTGTATTATTCACATCACAGATTACCTCTGGAAGCATGTCTTCATCAGTTCATTTTTGTTATTGTAATGTGTTTTCCATTCTGGTGAGGGATTCTGCCTTTCCCACGTGTTATTCCCTTTCATCAGATACCTCTGTATAGACTGTGTATCTGCAAACTGTGAATTCAACTAAAATGTCTGATTATAAATTAGATCCTTTCTGATTTAGAATACAACGCAAACCATAAAGTCCTGTTTAAATGTTGAATATTATTATTTCAAACTTGCCCTGATTGAAGCTTTTACAGCTTTGTGATTGCTTCCTTAATTTACTAGAGTCCCAAGTAGTCATGCTTCTTTGTCCCTGTCTTCCACTACAGGGAAGTCATTATTCATTTTTCTTAAGACAATCCATGCTGTGGATTATCAGAAGGGTCTTTGTTTAGAGGTTGGCAATAGCTTTTATTCCAGAAAAAAGATGAAATACTGAAGTGATCTTATTATGAAGAAACAATGCTGTCCTTCACATTGTTTTTGAAAACTTAGGCTGTATCTCTAAGGTTCTCCTTCTAAAAATATTTCAGAGTTTTATTTTCTTTTCTTGATTCAGAGAAAATATTTTTGTTATTAGCACAGCTGTAATTCAGTTCGTTTCAGCTCTCCTGCATGGGAAGAAGGAATGATGGAAACTTGCCTTGTCATAGGGGATTTTTATGATACTGTCTGCAAATTAGCAGATTTGAAGTGTAGGACATTAATTTCAGTTGATTTTGAACTTTTTTGGGATATGTTTTATCTCTGACTCTAAAACCAGAGAAAATATTTAACGAATGGTTTGTTTTCCTGAATATTCCCAAGTTTCCTTTTTTTCTTTAGCTTATCAATAAAACTTTTTCAGCCATATTGTACTGAGTCTCACCTGATGATAGGACTAAAAGACTAATCTTCCCAGAATTGATTTTCATTAGTGAGTAATTTGTAATTTGGGGAGGGGGAACATGCCTTCCAAATTTGCTGCCCTAGATAAATCACATATCTAGAAGTTAGTAAAGGTTTAAAAATGTACTTTCCTGTAATTATGTCTTAGTAAAAGTTTAAAGAACATACGCAGACAAATATTTTGTTATTATCATATCCATCTTGGAAGGAAAGAGCAGCTGATTCATCATGTCACTTTCACTGATCTGTGTTTTTCTTTTTTCTTCTTGTTTTGGCAGAACAAAAGCTCTTGTCTTAGAACTGTTGGCAGCAGTTTGTCTTGTCAGAGGCGGGCATGAAATTATTTTATCAGCATTTGACAACTTTAAGGAGGTAGGATACTCCATAGTTTTAAAAAGAAGGCTCACAGAAACATCTTATATTTGGATATCTTTAAAGAGAATGATTTGCTTTTTCTGTGTGTTTGTTACCTTTTTTCATTGTTGAGATATAACTGACATATAACATAGTAGTTTCAGGTGTACAACATAATGATTCAACATTTTTACATATTGTCAGATGATCACCACAGTGTCTAGTTAACATCCATCACCGTGATTTACCTTTTTATTTATTCTAGGGCCTAAGGGGTATAGTAGTTAATTTTCTAAGACATCACTAAGGGAGAAATAATGAACTTTTGTCTAAATATCTTAAACGGATGCATCAAGCTTTCTTTGGTGTCTCATTTTCCAGAGAAGTTAAAAACTATTTGCAGTACTGATTTTCCTTTGGAGAATATGGACTAGCCAATTTGAAAACAGGTTTTGTTAAATGTATGTGGTTCTCATTATGGTTGATTTTTGAACATCCGCTATGTAAATTGTACGAACTCTTTCATTATTGTTTCTTTCTTCAAATCATATGTATTATTGCTTTGCTGGATGCTATGAAAAACCTATCAAATAAGTGCAAACACTGATTTCAGCAGTTGGTGATCTTAAGCAGCTGACCTGTCACAGGCAAACAATAAACCAATGGACTTGCATGGTTGAAAATGGAAACTAAACAACTACCAAAGAAGAAACAATTACACATAGATGATATTAACCCAAGGACTCACCAGCCAGTTGCCCTTGGTGGTGTGCATGTTACATGGCCAGGAAGAGTGCCTGTTTGCTCCCTAGTATGTGCCTGACATCTGAGGCTACTTTGAGGTAGGACATTACAAAGGTAATTGAAGGCACTTGGAGCCCCAGGTTACAGTAGGACCCTCAGTCAAGTTGTGCCTTAACCTGGCGATCCCATTGGATTCCAGATGCTGTTGGATTAAAATCCAGAGTTCAGAGGGACTTCCAAACTCGCACCTTTCCTGGGAGCCTCTGGAGTAGGGCCCAGCCAGTATTTGTTGAGAACCTACTATGCCAGAGGCTGTGCCAGGTACACACATGAAACCATTTGGTTCTATAAGAACATCTGTGAGACAAGTATTAGTATCTCCATGTAGAGAAGAATAAACTAAAACTCAAATACATCATTTGCCTCTGGTCACATAGCTAGATAAGTGGCAGATCCAGGATCAGAATTTGGTGCTCCTGATCCTGAACTTCCCTTGCAGGTGACATTTGGGCCCACTTGGGTGTGACTCTCCTGAAGGAAATACTGAATTAGATGGGACCTTGGAGCCATTCCTCCCACCCTACCCCCTTAATTGGACTCAGTACCCCTGCTGCCAAATGTACTAGAGAGTGACCCCATAATTCTGTACATGGGCTGGGAAGCTTCAAAGGTGTCAACAGGGAAAACAGTCCTCCTGTCTCTTTATTTGAGTTGCCTCCCTCCCCCCAGTTACTGCTTTAAGATTTTGATATTGTCCATTTTGTTAATGCCAACCATGGACACAACCAAATATTGTCTTTTTATCTATCCAGCCTCAGTGATAGTGAAAAAATATCCAGGTTCCAAGAAAATGTTGAAGAATAATAGTGAATCTTCAATTCATATTCTCACTTCCAAAACAAATAAGAGTCTTGGGAGATAAGAGTGTATGAATGCTTGTTTCTGAATGTTTTTATATATCATATATCAGTACATAAAATTTACAATTATAAAGAAATAGATGTTTGGGTGGAAGGGTCTAATATGAAAGTGAAACAGCATGTGCATCTAATATAACTCCCAAATCTTGATCATTAGGCCATATTTGAACACATCACATGCCAAATCCTTCACACGCTGGAAGCACTTACTCTACGGTGATCAGTGACCCTTGTTACAATATGGGCCATATTATAACAAGCATCTGATTGTACTGCAGGTCAAATTATGTCCTAAAATTATAATTGCATAGAATCAGTATTAATTAAAGCTAGTAAATCATGAGATGAATGTTAATTTTGTTTTCTCATAGGTAAGATATAGTGCCCTTCTTATGCATAACAGGAATATAAATACTTGCAGAATTGAGTTTTAATTATCTCTTGTCAGAATTGTATCTGGTTTAGCCAATTAGGGCATAGTGTGTGCTTAGTTGAAAAAGAAAAAGTAATCCTACTAAATCTAATAGCTGGCTATACTACATGAGAACTAAATTAATTTTGACTGACTTTTTAGAGCTTTAACCAAAATCTGCCTCATTTCTGTAATTACTTATGAATGATGGTGGGTGTTTAAGTTCTGATTCTCCTTGGACAAGCATTTACATCTTAGAGGAACCAGTCCACGTGGGAAAGGGGACAAGGACAGAGCTGGTTCTCTCTGTGCTCTTGGCCTGCATTAACCTCAAGCTGTGGTGTCCATGTAGACAGACCAAGCAAAGGGATTAATCCTAATTGCCTTGTGAATGAGGACAGGACAGGAGCATGCCCCTGAGAAACTTGATTCTTATGGATAGGTCAGAAGAGCATCAATCTATTTATCTGTTCAATCTTAGGCTGAAAAAGGTGTTCCTTTATATTGATCTTGCTTTTTAAAAAAATGCAATGCCACTCACAGCCCAAAGTCTTTTAAATTCCTTCTTTTTCTTTCTCCCATCTTTATGTGAGTGGATTGTTTTTTTTCTTATACATCATAGTGAAGAGTGTATTCTTTAATCTTTTTGGCAAAAATGTCAGCTGAATTTTCTGGGTTTAGGGAGGTTTGGGAGCCAGCTGCTCTTGATTAGGAAGAGTTGTCCTTTTGATCTCAGATGCCTGTGCAGATAGGGTTTGGTCAGTGAGTAATACCTATTGAGCTGTCCGTGGCAGAGCGAGTACCATACTAGGTACCAAGATACCAGGGAGGAGGGCCAAAGAAGAGCCTTTGCCCTCAAGATTGTTGTTAAAGCTTTTTATCCCATTTAGAAAGTTGGGATTCCACCATCTCCTTAAGAAGGGTGAAAGGATTATTCCTGTTTTCACTGGGGGAACTGGTGAAGGGTGGTTCAGCATCAGACATCAGTGTCTATTTTTGCAAATAAAGTAATAGGCATTGGAGTAGCCAGACCCTTTGGGCTTTGATCATTGTTAGAGCAGAGCTGAGACACCAGGTGCTAAAAGGAAATTTAAAGATCACACATCTTAAGGATGTAGCAAGATTTTTTTTTTTCTACTTGAGGCAACAAATCCATTCTGTCCTATTTGGACTCATTAATTCAAACATAAATTGAAGGAAGGTATCCTTTAGCTTCTGATAGATTTTTATGTATAATTGCATCCATTTCTCATATTACAATTAATATTCAGAATCCCAACAAGTTTGGTTTTCTGTTTTTTTGCAAAGGATCTTGCTACATGTCTTATGTTGTCTGACGTACATGTTTTAGAAAAATAGGAAGCACTTCCAATTTATTGGTATCTGATGGTGGGAAGAGTATTAACCCAAGGCCTTGCTTTTGGTGGGTGTGGGGCTTGGGGCCTAAGCCTGGTGTCACTGAGCAAGCACATATATCTCCTCAGTGTAGATGATGATAAGTGAGTTTTAATTACATAAATTCAGATTTGTACCATACATGGTTTATGACATGCCTGAAAATGTGAGTGTAGAGAGTAGATGAAGACTAAACCGTTAAGTCAGCCATTATGCAACTGGAATTCTTTTGTCTTAAAAAAATTTTTTTTTAATAAAGGGAATTAACACTGGTTTTGGTGTTGAAACATCTCCTCATGCAAATTGATAGTCCTGAATTGAGGACCAGAGTGAGAATAAGGAGTCATCTGTTTTTCCTTATTGGCTAATTTAGGTACGTGGAAGGACATATTACCATCATCCCTAAATTGGTACTTTCTTAGTTGCATGGCAATATACGTTTTTGAGCATTTGGCCTACCAGACAGAAAACAATATATCTAGAAGTAAAGGTCACTCTGTTGATATTTGCATTAGTTCAGGGTCTTGTTTGCAAGAAGCAGAAACTGATTCTAACAAACAAAAGAAAGGGTTGATTGGAAGGATGTTGAGAAATGCATAGGGTTGACAAGGAGCCTGGAGAAACAGGCCTGGGAAATGGGCAGGCATTCCTAAAACGTGGCTAGATTCTCAGGCTGTGCCCTTGAAGCTGAGCCACCATAAACACTATTTGGGGTTCTGATCATGCTTTTTCTTCTCTCCCAAATGACATGAACCATAGCTAGCAATCCGCTGGGTCATAAAACTACTCTTACTGGTTAAGCACATCAACTAGCGCCTGCTTTAGAGTTATAAACACGATATGTAATCCAATTTCCCTTAGGAACCTTGAGGTCTTCTACCTAGACCCTGCTCTCCTCAGCTTTTCTTCGTCTTCCTAATTTTTTACATTACATTCTTTAATATATCTGAGAAATTGCCTTTAAGAGAGTGTCTCCAAAAGTCTGGCAAAAAAAATGCTCCCATTTGAAATCAAAGGGAAGAAGTACAGAGACCGCATAGACTGCAACGGAATAGCCTCCTCTGACACTAGTAATAAAACCCTCTGAGGGCTTGGAGCTACCAGCCCCCCAGGCTGCTGAGAGATGCACCTGGAGTTCATCAGAATTCCAAATCGATTATAACTGTTCTCATCTGCTTCCAAAATGACAGCATCTGGTTTTAACAAATAAGCCTGAGGCCTGAGTTTGGTTATTAAAGTCCCAGCTCCTTCCGTGTAGATAGATGGAGCCTTGTGAAATGAGTCACTCAAGGCCACCAGCTCTCTTGTACACAGCACTCTTGGCAGTAGCCGTTATTTTTTTTGCCTATTGCTAGAAGGCTTCTTAAGAAAGCTGATGTGGTTTAGCTACTGGGCATCTGAAAGCACTCGTGCTACACATTATTAAGTTGATTTAAGAAGGCCTGTCAGGTTTTATTTACCATGGACCAAATTGGGCAGGAAAGAGAGCAGACATTTTGGTGTGCTTCCAGCATCCCTCTGAGTTTAATCCCATCTAATCTAACCTC